CTCATCGAACGAGAGAAGTTTGCAGGACTGATGACTTGTGCAATAACTAATCGAAAGTAGATATTGTCTCTCTTGGAGGATTGAGATTTCTCATGCAGCTCGTCGGGCTTTAGCTCGCCGAGCTCGCTTCTTAGGGCGTTTGCTTTTGGGAGGATTCTCTTTTACCTGCAAAAGAAAAGATGTATATGAAACACCGAGTATTTGGAGACATGAAAACAAAACACGTCGTACAATCTTTGTGAAAAATCAAGATCTATAAGCATTTAAAAAACGGAAACAAAGGGGTTATTGGTTCATGGATTTGGAAATACATATAAAATTCTTTGATTTCAAAATCAATAAATTAGATTTAGGAATCAAGGAAGGTGAATTTAAGAATCAAATAAAATGGTATACAAACCAAATAAATATATTGTAAAATCAATAAAAACTAGTTATACTAACATATATAATATGATGACAAACAAATATATAAGCAATAATCTCTTATTTTTCTCAAAATTTCGATAATTTAATTGTTAGTCTATCAAAAGCCAATTTGTAACTTATGTGGATAGGTGGAATACTATGAGAAATTGATGAGGCGTGTTTAGGAAAAGTGTGAGTGTCATAGTTTGTTAATCAAATAAAATATATAAAAAATAATAACAAGGTTTGGCTAAAGAAATCTAATCTTGTAGTATTTTTAAAATGAAATTACTCTCAATTCCATTAAATTAGTTAATGAAAATTACTAATTGAATAACATAGGATTATAATAATGACTGAATAACATAGAATTTTGTTTTCTATTACAATTGATGAACCCTTAACATGTCATATTGTTGTATGGAGAATCCTTAACATGAAAACGTGTCATATTGTAGTCTGGAGAATTTGAGATATTAAAACTTGCCTCTGGCGTTTTGTAGCCCCATGGGTCTGGCAGCCTAGACTTCTTAAGTGCGATCTCCTGCTTGAAAACATTGAGGTGGTCTACTCAAATAGCTAGACAATGGAAAAAATTATAAAGATGGATGATTCAAGGATGCTTACTTCCTGTTCATGTTTTTCACCCNAGAGATGTGTGGTGAAGATTTCAACTCTTTCGGTAGAAAAACGGCATGCTGAGCAATAAAACAGAAACTCTTCGGGCCAAAGAGAGGTGCTAGTGCACTTTTGAATAACCGACGACTGTACTCTTGTCTCCTCTTTATTAGCCACATCATCATTATCTGATGAAATGAAAACAAACAAACAAACAAACGAGTTCAGAAACAGAAACAGCTTCCACGAGTGTCAGAGAAGGTAGTCGATGGCACCTGTGGCCAGTAAGGTTTCCCAGAGCCACTCGCTAGTAGAGTACAACTTTGAAACATATTTAGGAGTACATGTAAATGCCCGAAGAAGGTTGTATCCACTAATCCGTTGTTGTCGATGGCAGAGAGTGAAAGAGATATTTTCCACGNCATCGGATATGAGCATCATTGAAGCCGGAGGTGGATTGCGCTCTTGCCATGACGTCAAGAGGTCAAATAGGATCCCGATTGCCCGACCTGTTTTTGTTTCAGCAAACGAATCTAATCCCTTACTAAACATATATAAAACAAGCAAATAAACAAGGATTTACCAACCAACCAACCAACCGTGTTTAACAGAGATCCCAGTGGAAGAGAGCACTCCCAGGACGTCTTCAGGGGTGTCTTCTAGGTAGCCAATCACAGTTATCTCCACAGGACCAGAATATCCTAAATTCTTCAACGCCGATTCTATAGTCGGACGGATCCGACGAGCATCATANCCATGGGGAATCGGACAGGTGTTGATGTCCCACCACACCGCCGTCTTAGCTTTCACGTACTCAGGCTTCGCAGTCACAGGCTTCTGCATCGTCCCCAATTTTCGATCCCTAGGGTTTTTAATCAACTTTCAACTATATATATGGATGTCAATCCGGCCCAATAACAAAAGACATTTTCCATAAGTAAAATTCTAACAATGCAATTCTAACACATATGTAGGAAGCATATACCATAGCTCGTCGCTCGGGTATAAACCCCGAGAATTCGTTTTCTAAATCTCCTCTACTTCCCCGGAAAACGAAACTCATCTTTTACCAAATGCACAAGACAAGAGCCTGCACAAGATTTCCTCCAACAATTGTTACACTGACCATGCAATCCAAGATTTGATTTAGTTTCCATCAAATCAAATTGAAAAACCCTAACTAAAATCCCAACTCGAGAAACCAACAGAGAAGAGGGATTAACCCTATGATGATCACGAATCTTTCACAAAATCCAAAATTTTGAAATTGGGTCAAACGAGATGGTTCTTAAATCAAAATAATCGCCGCAAATTGAACGGAATCAATAGATCGGAGGAGAGATTCACCTGGAGGTGGAGAAACTACAGAACAGAGTCGGATTTTACTCTGGTTACATCGGCGAGGGGAGGCGACGGAATCGCCGTCGGAACGAGTCGACTCGGAAAGAGTTATCGCTCG